CATAAATAACCCAGAGATGCATTTTAAATAAAAGCACACATTCTACTCATGTAAAAACACCAGGCAGGCCCCCAAAATAACCCAGAGATGCATTTTAAATAAAGGCACACATTCTGCTCATGTAAAACACACTGATTCCCAGACTATCTGCGGGCCGGATTGAGAAGGCGATTGGGCTGCATCCGGCCTACGGGCCTTAGGTTGCCTACCCCTGCCATAGAGCTTCCCACGATGACACCTCCCCCATCTTGGGGAGGCCCCAATCCTTGGCAGAACCCTGTAAAAAAAATTCAGCCCTATGGCAGGAAGCTGAAATGGATAGATACCCAACGCCTTAGCCGATGTCCACCAACATCTGAAATCAATAAAGTTGCAACTATTTTTATCCCATATAGTTGTCTTGTCAAGTTTGTTCATTTGCACCTTAGCCATAGCCTCTGCACAGGGAAAGGTGGTGCTGTGACTGGGACCGCAATGTCCTAGGGCATTTTTCTATGTCTGGTGAATATAGGATATATAGAACGCTTTCTAAATCGCAGGGTTGCTCAGCTGTTTTATGAGCTGAGATGGCTGTACATTGTGTGTGCACGCACTATAACAGTCAGAGTGAAAGCAAGGGTTATTAGAATGGGCAGAAAAGGCACTGATCCTGTACCAGATTCCCCAAAAGCAACGGATGAAGCCTTCCTACCCAAGACTCAAGAGCAGTTTTGGCTAACTCCAGTTTAAAACTGACAAGGCGCTCTCTCACACCTTTCAAACTCAGATTGCCTCTAGCTGTTCCTGTCCCATTCTCAAACTCTGAGGGGCAACGCATCCCAGAGACTGCAAAAAGACCCCAGGTCATTAAGAGCCATTCAGCTCCTTTTTTAAAAAAGGTGACTCATACTTGAAGCAAAACCATAGTATTGGGCCTACTCACAATAAGTGTGAGAAAGAGATCTGGACACCTTATTAAAAAAAAGTGGAGGGGGCAGCACTGAAGCAGCAATACTAATCAATAAAACCTTTAGCACGTCGCAATGAACTAGCCCATCTGTTCATAGAAAAGCATCACAAATTTAGAAAGCTGTGAACCGTGTACTGAAAACAGCAAGCCTCGTTCAATCAGGGCCTCATTCATTCACCACAGACTGAAGCAGCTAACGTAAGCTTTTGTGACTACGTTATGCCCTATTTAAAACACACACATAGTCCACCACAACTATAATCCTATGTACCATAGCCTACTGACGTCCCCCACTTTTCAACAAAATGTTAAGATAGAGCAAAGTATTGTGAGATGCTGCCATCTATTCACTGGATAATGTAATAACTGTTGAAACAGACAAACAAAGGGAAGCAGTTTTTACTCTCCTATCTATCCACTAGCAACAAACTCAGGGTTGTATTTGCACATCCAGGCCTAAGAGTCAAGTCTTATTTTATTTACGTGGGCTTTGATCCAAATGTATCTTTCATGAGTGTGTGCTGCAACCGGGGGGAAGACGCAGACCACAAGAAATATGTTCAGAATTGTTGACATCACATTATCATCGAACATTGCTAAGCCTATTTGCTGAAGAGGACCAGCTCTGCAAAAGGTCCTAAAATCCAGGAATGGTCCAGATTGCTTGCACTGGTTTACTGAGTGTTGAGGACCGCTGAAAAGAGGGGGGAAAGCTGAATTCTGTTGTAGTGTGGGAACGTATTTTAATACTCAGTAGCGTGACTGTAATGAACTGAGTAGATTATACATGCTATAAAATCTTGTCCTCTTTAATTATACTTCCCAGATCCGCATCGTGACTTTTTAGGTAAGGTAAAGGACCCCTGGATGGTAAAGTCCAGTCAAAAGCGACTATGGGGTGTGGCGCTCATCTCGCTTTTCAGGCCGAGGCAGCCGGCGTTTTGTCCACAGACAGCTTTCCAGGTCATGTGGCCAGCATGACTAAATCGCAGAGCGCACGCAAAAGCCATTTAGCTTCCCGCCACAGCAGTACCTATTTATCTACTTACACTGGTGTGCTTTCTAATTGCTAGGTTGCAGAAGCTGGGACAGAACAACGGGAGCTCCCCACTGTTGTGCGGATTCGAACTGTTGACCTTATGATCATCAATCCCAAGAAGCTCAGTGGTTTAGACCACAGCACCACCTGCATCCCTTTTTAGAATCCACATCCTACAATGACCCTTCTGAAACATCATTAATTGAAGCCAGCTAGTTATTCCTATATAAGTAACTCCACCTAAGTCATAGGTAGGCAAACTAAGGCCCGGGGGCTGGATCCGGCCCAATCGCCTTCTAAATCCGGTCCGCGGACGGTCCGGCAATCAGCGTGTTTTTACATGAGTAGAATGTGTCCTTTTATTTAAAATGCATCTCTGGGTTATTTGTGGGGCATAGGAATTGGTTTATTCCCTCCCCCCCCAAAAAAATGTATATAGTCTGGCCCCCCCACAAGGTCTGAGGGACAGTGGACCGGCCCCCTGCTGAAAAAGTTTGCTGACCCCTGACCTAAGACATCTGAAAGGCCCTGATTCAGAGTGTCTTTGGTGCCACAGACAGGAACCTACACATGTAATAATCTTTCCAGTAGTGAAGCAGTCATACCTGAAATGTGAGGATAAGATGCTTATATGGAAACAATAACAAAGAAACAAAGAAAACAAACCAATTGGGAATAACTAGGGCAGGATTTCTGGAGTCCAGTGATCAGAAATATTTGCATTGCAGGGGGCTGGACTAGATGACCCTTGTGTTCCTTCCAATGCTATGATTCTATGTCTTTGGAAATCTACACACCCTAGAGATTGGGTGGAGAGCAAAGCAATTATATAGTTTGTTTGTTGGGTGCTTCAGCCACTCCAAAAGAATGGTGTTTATAGACTGTGGGATAATGAGCCTCATATAGCCAACATGCTTAAGTCTAATTAATGCATGAAGGGGTTAAAACCATAGAGTAAGCTGCCCTGCCAAACTTAGCTATGTCCACTTCCCCTACCTTGGGGGAAAATAGATAATCTATCCTATTGTTCCCCCTCAATTTCAATGTGTGAAGAGGCTTGAGCTGGTTGCTCCACCTGAGACCGCAAGCCACCCTTGAGTTCCTATACCAATAATTTAGGAACTTGCACTACTGTTCAGGGAAGTTTTTAATGTGTGATATTTTAGTGTATTTTGGTTTCTGTGGAAGCCACCCAGAGTGGCTGGGGAAACCCGGCCAGATGGGCGGGGTACAAATAATAAATTATTATTATACTTTGTAAGTAAACTAAGTTTTACTGCCTGTGCAACTTTTTCTGAACACTGTATGCAAAAGAACATGAATATGACCTTTGGAGAATTTCTAAGTAAACCATTTTTAGCTTACCAAACATGGTCTTTTTTCTATGCTAGTGAAGAAGGAAGCTTTGGAACTCACCTGAAATGGCATATTTTAAAGGTCTAACAGCAGACATTTCCATGCTTTACTTTGCTCCATGTATTGTAATTTTTAATCTCTGCTGGGGTCTTCTCATCAAAGAATACTTGTCCCAGACTTGGCTCTTGAGATCCACGAATTCTAAATTGCACCAACATAGATAGCTCTGAAAAACTTGCAATGTGACCTGTAATTTTCTTAGTGTATTTACATGCAGTGCTTTTTTTCGTGTGTGTGTGTGAGACGCATACTCCTAAAGGAAATTGAGAGTACCCTTAAACATTTTTAAAGTAAAAAAAGCACTGTTTATATGTATTTATTTCCCCAACATTTCTTTCTGTCAACACTTGATTAAGCGACCTGGAGGAAATTTAGTAGCAGCTTACAGAAGTCAGTTAACAGACTTGAAAACTGTTTTTAAAACTTGCCATTCTGCAATGGCCTGGATCGCCCAATCATTTGAGATCAGAAAACTAGCTTATATGGCTTTCATCAGAGTGAACACACACACAAATATCACTGTATCAACACTCAGATGATGGGACCTTAATGCTTTCTTTACACATGGCCCATTCCAGCTAAAAACAGGTTACTTACCTGTAATCATTATGCAAGTGGTTGTCTAAGGTTCTCTTGCAGTTTCCTCGAGAGAAGTCAGTGATCACCCGTGCATTAACTTTACTGATTGGGTGAAGTTCAAGAAGCAGTGAATGTGAAAGAGCAAATGGACAGGGGGATCATTAAATAATTGCTGACTAGGTTGATGAGAGTTTGGCTGTATCTTAGAGAAGGTAAGTTTGACCCAGGAACCCAACACTGAACTGAGTTGGTCAAGGTGAGTTTTCTGGATGTAGCAACGGATGGAATTGAGTGTGGTAAGCCGCAATGAAGGATGCTTTCTACTGAAGGTTACAGGTAGAAGCACCACTTACTTGGCTCAAAAAAATCACTTCTGTTCACTCAACTATTCAAATCAAAGTAAAAAACCACACCCCATTTTGACCGTTTCCCTTGCGCAGTCAAGCAATCCAGTCCGCCCCCTCCTTCTCCAAGCATCCCTAACCTTCTGCTCTCTTGTTGTCTCCCCATCAGATCCAAGAGTAAAAAGGTAAAAGGTAAAGGACCCCTGGACAGTTAAGTCCAGTCAAAGGCAACTATGGGGTTGCAGTGCTCATCTTGCTTTCAGGCCGAGGGAGCCGGCGTTTGTCCACATACAGCTTTCCGGGTCATGTGGCCAGCAGGACTAAACCGCTTCTGGTGCAACGGGACACTGTGACGGAAACCAGAACGCATGGAAACACCGTTTACCTTCCCACTGCAGCAGTACCTATATATCTACTTGCACTGGTATGCTTTTGAACTGCTAGGTTGGCAGGAGCTGGGGCAGAGCAATGGGAGCTCACTCCGTTTCGAGGATTCGAACCACCGACCTTCCGATCAGCAAGCTCAAGAGGCTCAGTGGTTTAGACCACAGCGCCACCTGCGTCCCTAGCCCCAAGAGTACCTGGGCACTGAGATAAAGGCTAGTATAACCCATATTATTCTCGGAGTTGTAAACACGCACAAATTCAATAAAATCAAGTACAAACATTCGAGTACATTTACCTCAAATAACTTCCAGTCTGCTTTATTTCCAAATAAAGTACATTTCTCCAAGAAGCAAGTGTATTCAAACATAGAACATTTCCAGCAACAGTTACAGTCTATTTCCCATTCACAGTTTTGTTTTTTTAGTGCAAAGCACTAAAAGGCCAAACACTTACCTATCCATAAAAGAATATTTTTTATTTATTTATGATGAACATTTTTAGATATATTTTATACAAAAAAGTATATATGGACACAAGGCATTCCCTAAGCAAGGGAGTCGACCAATATTTTAAAAATGGCATTTCTTCATTTGTACATCGGGTTGGATCCAGAGAGAGTCCCTTCCGTGAACAGAAGGGACCAAGAACCAGCAGAAGCTCTTACGGGAGGAAGGTGAAGCGAGGTGGTTTTTGCCACTTCCTCTTTCCTCTCTAGCCCTCCATGTCACACCTCACACTGCTCTGGAGGTGGGAGAAGGAGGAATCAGTGAAAATGGCTTCATTAGCCTTCCTCCAGTAGGAGGGTCCTGTGAGCGGGATCCTGTTCACAGGTCCTCTGGATCTAACCCATCATCTTTTAAACTATGGCAATTTGACACAAATCACTAAACATTTTCTAAAAATTAAGAAAGCGCAGAAACCTGCCAAAAATTTCATAATGGTAGGTATACTAATGTTTTGCTATAGAATCGATTATAAAATAAGACAGGAAGCAAGAATTTCATAAACTTTACAGTGAAAGTCAAGTGCCATCTACAGTGGTCATTCAACATCTTGTGGGCAAAAAGAGAGAAAGAAAAAAAGTCCTTCCACTATCTTCCGTTTAAACAATATTTAAGGAACTATGGTTGTATATGAATTGTCTACAAAACCCATCTACTATCTTCACATGAACATTAGTGTACTGTGTTTTAAAAAATAACTAAAATTTTAAACTGCATCTATTAAAGTGCTTGTGTATAATCTTTTTTTAAAAAACAACAATTAAAATAGGGGAATGTGGGTCACTTGTAAACTTCCATATGAAAGACTGACCAATATGCTAACCATGCAAAATTACTATACATATTTTTTTTGCAGCAAGTTCAGTACAGTCAAACTTAATACTCCCAGAAAAGTATTGAACCATGAATTGAAATTAGCGCCAATGCTAAAAAAATTACAATTCAAATTGCAGTTCATTCAAATTACGCTAAGAAACTGCTCATATACATTCATCTGTAAAAAAATATTTTTAAAGTACATCACACAACAAGTGTTTGCTTAGTAGTATATCACAATGGACGTAAAATCTGTTCAGCAAAATTAGAATTAAGTAAGGGCCAAGTCTGGAACGCATGCTCCAAGTTGATAACGTCCTTAAAAAGAAAAGAATAACGTCCTTAAAAAGAATAGGGCTTCAAAAATGGTTTGCAAAATTTCCCTTTTAAAATGTTCATTTTTCTGTTACCAGCACTACTGCACACATGAAATAAGAAAGCTGGCTATTAATTCAAAGGGCTATTTTTAATGGAGTTTAATCGCTCTTGAAAAACTCAAACAAGACGTTACCTTTTAGGAACAATCAATACATTTACTAAGAAAATAGCTTATAAAAATATTTCTTCTCATAGAACTATTTCAAGATATTAGTGGTTCTAATTCCAAATTTTACCACACATCATCTCATGTTAAGGAGAAATACATATATCAATATAATATTTAGCCAACTTTAAAAAGGGGGGCTTTACTTGTAGGCAGCATGAACATTTTCCACACAAAAGCCAGAAGCACTTTCTGTGTCCAATAAGCTGACTGTGGTTTTGGTAAGAATAACCCATATCTTTATTATTTAGCCTTTAAAAGACAAAATGAAAAAACCCACCAACTTCCCCCCAGCAACCTGAAGGTAGCTCCCAAATATCTGGAAGCTTGTCTACATATAACCTTTTCACATTAAAACCAGAATCCACAAGTGGTTTAACTCTGGAAAGATACCTTCACCTAATGGGAACTTTGGATCTGAATTATCAACATAGATATACTCTTAATAAACATCTGTTAGAGATTAATAATCTTTCGTATAAAGTAGTAATTAAAAAACCCCACCAAACTATTCTCTCCTCGGTGGTTGGTTGCCCAACAACATTTCAACTGAAGCTAGTTAAGACTGTTGTTCTGTATGTCATGTAAAATTGCCACTGAACTGTAGAATATCCAATATCCCCACCCGCAGGTGTCTAAACAGGGTATGTGGAAACAAACGTTATGGTTAAAATGCTAGCTACAAAGGTCCAGGTCCCAAAATTCTAGCTCAGGAAAAAACTGAGATTTTAGTTTCTCTAAGAGGAATGGACATCTTGTGTCAAACAGAGAAACGGAATTTTAACGCAAAAGTGTTGACTCTAAACTATAGAGCTATATAGAGCTATATACCCTAAATTTATGCTCATCTTAAGTATGCTAGCATTTATGCAAAAACTCTATATGCCAGAAATATTTGCTAACGGACTAAAACCACAGGGAAACACAGCACTAACAGGCTATTTCAAGCCTATCAAAGGCTTTCCTCTACCTGGTCAGTACCAACGAAGTGCAAAGTTAATTTTAAAAAAACCTTTGGAACTACGGTCCCTACCGCTAAACATTATGCCCCAAACAACTTGTTACAGAATAGTATTAAACTTTCAGGAACCGACCATGTACAACTGTGCTAGCTTCACTTTCTTGAATAAAGACAAATTCATCTTGAATCCTATAAATACGTGGCTGAGGAGAATAAATGCAATATGTTCTACAGCGTCAGAGTCTGAGCTAGAAACACCAGTGGGAAATTCAGGCAAACGTTTTGCAAGGCACTAGTTGTTCCTCAGCAGACAAGAGCTTTAGATCTTGTGCTTCTGCCTTTGGTTGTATTGTTTTCTTCGGGCGAATGGGATGCATTTGCCTTATGAGTCTTCTTGTGATGCTCTAGGAAAGTCTTTTTGGCAAACGCTTTCCCGCATTTATTGCATCTGTGCAGAGAGAAATTCTTTGTGACTTTCACTTCAATGCCCACATCAGCCCCTTCGTACTTCTTGCTCGGCGAGTTAGAGGTGACATCCGGCTTTGCGCCATTTTGCTTACCTTCATCCCTCGGAGCGCCTCTTCTCGTCACCTTGTTTAAAACGCAGTCAATGGGTTTTTTCACCGCTCTGATTTCTAAGCTCGCCGTTATCTTGCCAAGGTAGCGCGAAGACTTTTTGTGCACGACGGTTATATGTCTGATCACGTCGCGCTTCCGGCGGGTTTCGTAAGGGCAGAGCGGGCACCGGTAGAATTTCACAAAAATGTTATTTCCGTCCGTGTGCAACTCGATGTGCTTCGTTAGATTTTGCTTGGACGTAAATTGGCGTTTGCAGAGCTTGCAGTAAAGCTTTTTAAAGTCAAAGCCAACGGAAAGTCTCGGCTTCCTGGGCTTTCGGAGACCACTTGCAATGGACTGATTACTTGACTTAGAATTTTCAGAGCTCGGCTTAACTTTAATTTTCTTTGTGGGTGGTGCGTTCTTCCTTTCAGTGGAAGAAGATGCATTCTTCCGTTCAGCAGATGATGCATTCTTCCGTTCAGCAGACGATGCATTCTTTCGTTCAGCGGATGATGCATTCTTTCGTTCAGCGGTTGATGCATTCTTTCGTTCAGCGACGATGCATTCTTTCGTTCAGCGGACGATGCATTCTTTCGTTCAGCGGACGATGCATTCTTTCGTTCAGCGGACGATGCATTCTTTCGTTCAGCGGACGATGCATTCTTTCGTTCAGCGGACGATGCATTCTTTCGTTCAGTGGATGATGCATTCTTTCGTTCAGCAGATGATGCATTCTTTCGTTCAGTGGATGATACATTCTTTCGTTCAGCAGATGATGCATTCTTTCGTTCAGTGGATGATACATTCTTCCGTTCAGCAGCTGATGCATTCCTTCGTTCAGCAGATGATGCATTCTTTCGTTCGGCGGATGACGAGGCATTCTTTTTCTCAGTCGATGAAGATGCATTCTTCCTTTCATTCGAATGATTTGTTCCCTTTGTTTCACTCTGCGGGGAGCTGATGATGGGAGGCACTGATTCCGTAGATTCTGCTGGTTCCGTTTTCTCTTTCACGTCTGTGCTAACTGCGTTATTGGGCTTCTTCTCTCTTTTAGCATTTTTTGCCGAAAGGGTTATCTTGTGAACAATCTGCATATGCCTTTTGAGCATTACCTGCGAACTGTATTTCCTCTTGCACAAGAGGCATTTGCAGGTGGTTAAGTTGTATTCAGCCTTAAGGGACTTTTGTTTTCGGGTCTTAACAGATTTTTTAGCCGATTCCAAGGACAAAGGTTCCCCAGGCTTTGTAGCTATGTCAGGAGTGATGGAATCCCTCCTCAGTCCCCTGTGAACTTCATCAAAATGCCTCCTTACATTGGCTTTTGTAGCAAAGGATTTATAGCATACAGGACAGCTCCTACCCAATGTTACAAGAATGTTCTTATTGCGCCCCCTTCCAGATGTCTGATTTGGCCGCCTCTTAATTTCAATAAATTTCTTCAGTTCCTCCATCTTCTTCTTGTGTACTTTTCTAATATGCCGGCGTACACTGCGCCTGGAATGAAATTCTTTTTTACAGAGGCAGCAAATTAACTGGTGACCCAAATCTGGTTTATCACATTGCAGCTGAGACTTCGAGGACAGAGACGGTTCTTCTGGAGTCAATATTACCTTGCTAGCAGCAGCAGCCACAGGAATCTCCGCCGTTTCTTCCTGTGAGGGACTAGGAACCGCTTTAGGAGGTTCTGCGGTAGGTTCTGGCGTTTCTGCTACAGGAGCTGGTTCGGTGGTGACGTTCATCTCAATGTTCTCAACTGTGCTATCCGCCTTCGAAACATATTGAAAGACAGCATTCCGGTTTGTCTCTATAGGTTCCAAACGGATTATATAGTCTTGCTTGTCCACTCTAGGATACATAGCTTCCAGGAGATCGCTTATGGCTTGGCTCTGCTTATCATTTACATCAGGAGAGTCTGTAGATTAAAAAACAACAACACAATGTTTACATTATATTATTTCACAGGTGTCACTCCCAACAAGGAATCAAGTGGTAGTGGTGGTTGGTGTTCTTTTTAAAAAAATAATTTTTATTAAAGATTTTCTTGGTTTACATCATGCTTTGTCTCTTTTTTCAGGTTGTGGCTTACTTACATATGATGTGAGACATTAAGTGTTGTATACAGTACAGTGATACCTTGGTTTACAACCATAATCCATTCTGGAGGTCCGGTTGTAAACCAAAACAGGTTGTAACCCAAGGTGCGCTTTCGCCAATGGGGCCTCCAAAAAAATAGAATGGGTTGTAATCCAAAAAAAGGGACACACACTTCAGGGTTTGACGTGCTTGTAATCCAAAACAGTTGTAATCCACAATGGTTGCAAACCACCCCCATCGTTCTGTCCAGACACTGAAGTCCAGTGCTGAGGGCCTTCTGGTGGTTCCCTCCCTGCAAGATGCCAAGTTACAGGGAACCAGGCAGAGGGCCTTCTCGGTAGTGGCACCCTCCCTGTAGAACGCCCTCCCATCAGATGTCAAAGAGAAAAACAACTACCAGACTTTTAGAAGACATCTGAAAGCAGCCCTGTTTAGAGAAGCTTTTAATGTTTAATAGATTATTGTATTTTAATATTCTGTTGAAAGCCGTCCAGAGTGGCTGGGGAAATCCAGCCAGATGGGCGGGGTATAAATAAAAAAATATTATTATTATAACCAAGGTACCACTGTATAAGTTTGGGGAAGAAGAGCGGGAAGAAGGGTGGGATGGTGAAAGTTACATTCTCTTATACAGCGTACATGTGTGGTTTTGTGTCAGGGTCAACTGGGTAGATTCTCCTTCTATCCGCTAGTTTCACTCCCTTGGTAGTGAGAAAGATGGCAAGGGCAGGGTGCGGTTGGTTGTCTTTAGTTGGCAGCAGTGAGGTTTGTTTGAGTGGTGGTGGTGGGGTTGTTGGGTGAAGATAGCCACATTGATTTGTATGCCATCGTGGAGGTGGTGGTTTTAACAAAACCTTAATTTTCAAGGTTCTTCAGCAACAGCTGTATTGTGCGGAAGATGAACAGACGTAATCACGCAGTTCTAAAACGGTGTTAGGAGAGGAGGGAGAGACAACATGGCCTCTTCCACTGAAGAACCAGACCAGCTGCTATTCAGCCCCTTCCATCCTGGCCCATGCCAGCATTAAGGAGCAGGGATCCATCCCACCAAGACTCTTCACCTTCATGGGTCATTTATATATAACAGGGGTCAGCAAACATTTTCAGCAGTGGGCTGGTCCACTGTCCCTCAGACCTTGTGGGGAGCCGGACTATATTTTCTTTTGGGGGGGGAGGGAATGAACACATTCCTATGCCCCACAAATAACCCAGAGATGCATTTTAAATAAAAACACACATTCTACTCATGTGAAAACACTAGGCGGGCCCCACAAATAACCCAGAGATGCATTTTAAATAAAAACACACATTCTACTCATGTAAAAACACGCTGATTCCCGGACCATCCACGGGCCAGATTTAGAAGGTGATTGGGCTGGATCCGGCCCCCGGGCCTTAATTTGCCTACCCATGATATGTGGTGGCCACTTATATATAGTGCATCGTAGATTTTTTTTCTTAAAAAGAAAGGAAAGTGGGATAACGTGAAGCCCAAATATTTATAACTGCATTTACTCATATTCCCATTGCTACCTTTGCTTTTCTACTTTTCCAGTGTTGTCTTCTTTTTAGATTGTTAGCTCTTCAGAACACAGAGCTGTCTTTTGCCGTTGTTAATGCACGGTGTCACAGGGCTGCATTCAAGGCTTTCACCAGCAGAATTCTGCTGGCGCAACAGGAGTATCATTTCTTTTCCTCCACCACACGCCGTCCAAACCTGCTCCATAGGGGCTCCCAACCCTCCAGAGCTGACTCATGGGGGGCCAGACAAAAGTCTGCTGTGCCCACCAAGCTGCAGTGTTGGTTGTGGCCCACATTAATGCAGTAGCACCATGCCAGTAATAAGAAAAATAAAGACACCCTGTGATGCACAGATACTGCATTCTAGGTTTAGAGATACAGTTGTACCTTGGTTTTCGAATGTTTTGGCTCCCGAACGCCACAAACCCTAAGTGACTGTTCCGGTTTGCAAACTAGTTTTGGAAGAGAAACGTCCAACAGGACTTCTGTGGCTTGTGATTGGCTTCCTACAGCCAATCAGAAGCAGCACTTTGGTTTCCCAAAGTTTTGGAAGTCGAACGGACTTCCAGAACAGAATCCGTCCAACTTCCAAGCTACGACTGTACGTTGAACAAGAGACTCGAGAGAACAAAACTTACTGTCATCCATCCGGAGACTTGGAGGACAGTAGAACTTCTTGTGGGTTATTAAATTCGGTAATCCTCTGAAGAGGCTGCGGCACAATTTACATTCGAAGATGGTGTCCACATCTTTCAGCAAAATATGTTTAAGTTGCTTAGTTCCTGAAACATATAAAAAGACACAGTTACCACTAGGTGCATCCGAGGCATGATCCAGGTGAAGATAAGTACTTTAAATGTTCAATTAATCATATGCCAAGATCTTTCCCACGGACATCAGTAAGACTAATGGTTGAATGTTATACATATCTACCCAGAAGTTACCCCACTGAGTTCCATGAGACTTACTCGCATGTAAGTGTGTACAGGGTAAAAAGGTAAAGGTAAAGGTACCCCTGCCCGTACGGGCCAGTCTTGACAGACTCTAGGGTTGTGTGCCCATCTCACTCAAGAGGCCGGGGGCCAGCGCTGTCCGGAGACACTTCCGGGTCACGTGGACAGCGTGACATCGCTGCTCTGGCGAGCCAGAGCCGCACACGGAAACGCCGTTTACCTTCCCGCCAGTAAGCGGTCCCTATTTATCTACTTGCACCCGGGGGTGCTTTCGAACTGCTAGGTGGGCAGGCGCTGGGACCGAGCAACGGGAGCGCACCCCGCCACGGGGATTCGAACCGCCGACCTTTCGATCGGCAAGCCCTAGGCACTGAGGCTTTTACCCACAGCGCCACCCGCGTCCCCAATGTACAGGGTAGCAACCCTTAAGTACTTAATTTTAGGCCCCTTGGGCCGCTGGAGGGCTTGCACGGTGGTCAATAATGATGATAATGATAATAATAATGAGAATAATGAGAATAATAATAATAATTTATTTATTTATACACTGCCCATCTGGCTGGGTTTCTCCAGCTGCTCTGGGCGACTCCCAACTGAATATTAAAGAGACAATACAGTGGTACCTCGGGTTACAGATGCTTCAGGTTACAGATGCTTCAGGTTACAGACTCCGCTAACCCAGAAATAGTACCTCGGGTTAAGAACTTTGCTTCAGGATGAGAACAGAAATCGTGCTCTGGCAGCATGGCAGCATCAGGAGGCCCCATTAGCTAAAGTGGTGCTTCAGGTTAAGAACAGTTTCAGGTTAAGAACGGACCTTCGGAACGAATTAAGTACTTAACCCGAGGTACTACTGTAACTGTAAAAACTACTCTGAAAATTTATTATTCCAGAAATAAAAACTTCATCTGGTTGTAAATTGTAAAATTATACCGGCAAGAATGAGTCTTTCTGTAAAAAAAATGATTTAAATCAGGTCTTACTGACTAGTGATTTAAATCATGATTTAAATTGTGATTTAAATTGATTTGATTTAAATCAAATCCATCCTGATACAGCATGTGGTGTGCCCTAAACAATGGCTCACATAAACAAACTAGTGCTTGCATTCTGAAGCAGTTGAAGTTTCCAAATAATCTATAAAGGCAGCTGTAGAGTGCACTATAAGAATATGGTCTGGATGTAAAGAGAGCACATTTAACGGGAGATTTGCTTTATTTAGATTAGATAGCTTGGGCCGGTTCACCAGCTTTGGCCCTACTAAAAGTCACTCATAGCCACCAGACTCAATATAGCATCAAGTTCAGGAAAATCCCCTAACTTGGTTCTGTCAATGACTGTGCTATCCAACCCAAGTCAGTTCTACTGGGGCATTTTGACCGCAGCAGGTAGAATAAAGGGACAGAACTATGGGACAACACTTTGATCCAAACCTCCTCAAATGACTTCTTTCAGCAGCGTCAAGTGAATGTTAAATAGCATGGGAACCTCAAAGACAAAACTATAAGATGGAACGGAAATCGTCAAACACCACCTTCTGGGTCCAAACCTCTGGAATGTCCTGGTCCAGAGAGACAGCCCATTGTTGATGGTATTTAAAGCTGTTTAGAGGCCCATCAGAAAAGAATTAGACGATTCCTAACAATATCCCAGCATAAATCATCCAACTGAGTGATTCAAAAACAGGCCAAAACCAGAAGGAAATCAGTTAGACCCTTGAACAACAATCTTGAGTAATTTATTCCAAACCCTTCAACATCTAGTTACTGAATAATGAATTATACTTTCTATGATGTATTCTTATCCATATATTTCTCTCTCTTTTTTTAACCAAATCTGGACTTCAAGATGCTGTAAAGTTCTGTTTCAAAGTGTGAATGTGGATATACCTCTCTCAACATGAAACAATATCAGTGTAGAGATCCAATTGATGCTACTAACAGCCTATTATTCCTATTACTCCTGTTGCTCAGTCCCAGCTCCTGCCAACCTAGCACTTCTAAAGCACACCAGTGCAAGTAGATAAATAGGTACCACTGCGGCAGGAAGGTAAACAGCATTTCCATGAGCTCTGGTTTCTGTCACGGTGTTCCGTTGCGCCTGAAGCGGTTTAGTCACACTGGCCACATGACCCAGAAAGCTGTCTATAGACAGACGCCAGCTCCCTCGGCCTGAAAGCGAGATGAGCGCCGCAACCCCATAGTTGCCTTTGACTGGACTTAACCATCCATGGGTCCTTTACCTTTATTACTCCAATACTGCAAAATTGTATATTTTTCACTAGCGTTATTTCTTTCAGATATAAATTATATAAAATCAAAGTCCATTTCCCCTCAAAACACAAATTTATTTAATATTAAAACATCTATTGAATGAATGAAAACTACGGTTTCAAAAGCAAGGATCATACAATAGTACGACTGCATAATACTTATACTATTTTCAGAGGCAAATATAATAGTTAAAATTGTACTAAATGGGCAATAGAAAGAGGCTGCAATTCTGTGTAAAACTGTTATTTCGGTGTTTAAGGGATCACCTAACAACATGCTTGGTATATGGAACATTATTTCCATTTTCAAAAGTTTATTTGCCTGGCAGATAACCAGGTATCCAGATTGATCAGGTGTGAACTGGTAAAATATCCTAAAAGCTAAAGACAAACTTGGGTCCCCATAGCATGCCTTTTATAAAAGTTTCAGAGTTCCTTTTCAAAGCACTGCCATTTCTCTTATATCAAACACCTGAGCAAAAAAGCCATTTGTAGTCCCATAAATTATTGCTGCTGCCATTTGACAGTGTCGGTGCACTAAGTAAACACTCAAGAACATAGAAATGTCAGGCCTTGGAGCTGACTTGCCATTTAAATTAGATTTACAAGAAAAAGGCTGGGGTGGAGGTGTGTTCAGAGATGAACGAACAAGGATATAGGGCACGGGGAAGCCAAGTGGCGGGCAGTACAAGCCTAAGGTAGTTCAGAAAACACTTTGAACTCATTGTATTGGAGAAGCAGGAAGTTGCTTTCCTTTTCAAAAGAGCTATACAGTGGTGCCTCGCAAGACGAAATTAATTCGTTCCGCGAGTTTGTCGTCTTGCAATTTTTTTCGTCTTCCGAAGCACGGTGTCGGAAAAGTTTTGGAAAAGCTTCAAAAATCACCAAAGTCTTCAAAAACCTCAAAAAAGGCTACCACACCGCGTTCTATGAGTTGCTCCTCGAAGTCAAGTCGCAACTGTATTAACGGTGTTAAGAAAAAGGAAACAAACTTGCAAGACGTTTCCGTCTTGCGAAGCAAGCCCATAGGGAAAATCGTCTTGCGAAGCAACTCAAAAAACAAAAAACCCTTTCGTCTTGCGAGTTTTCCGTCTTGCGAGGCATTCGTCTTGCGAGGTACCACTGTACTAGGTACAGGGAGCAAGATATGTGAGGCCATGAAGACGAAAGTAAGAAAAAGCAATAACTACAGATGCTATTCCAGCAAGGAGTAAGAAAGTGGCATGAGGGGAAACTGAGAAAATACGGTACATACAGATTTGAAAATAAGGGACCAGCAGCCTCGAAAATAAGGGATTTTCCAAGCACAGGTATGTTCAGCTTCTGAGCCCCTCCAAGCCAAAGGCAGAAAGCCCAGCCAGCAGACAAAACCAAGCCTCAAGCAGTGGTTCCCACAGTGCAGCAACCCGGCAAAGGGGATGCAGCAAGGAAAACCACCATCACCTCTCCGCTGGGAAGCGCTGAGCAAAGGCGAGTCCCCAGGCAACGCAGCTGATTTGATCGGCACAAGGCATGCAAGCTCCACCCCCCAGTCGTTCTTAGACTCCTTATTGGGTGAGCAATGCAGCCAAGCAACACAGTTGGAGCCTCCCTCCTCCCTGGCTGGCAGGGAGGGAGGGAGGGAGAGGAGCTGCTTCCTTTGAAACCCGGGAAATTTAAGGGATATCTTCAATAAGGGACAGCAGCGGGACACAGCGCTGGGATAAGGGACTTTCCCGCCAAATAAGGGACGGTTGACAGCTATGCTTTAAAACCAAGAGATTTTTGTTAAAAGATGTTAATCGTGCAATTTGCAACTCACTTAGCTGAAGTGAACCTGGAGTTCTTTAGCCACTTCTGCATATTTCATACTAAAATAAGAGTTTGCAATGCACGGATGTTTACTGAAAAGGACGGGAGGCTCTGAAACAGAGTCAAATTACCACCATCCTCTTTCCAACTGAAAACATCAGCCTCCTTTGTACTACACAACAGCAGTGCAAGTGTGTTACTATGCTCAGTGCAATGTGTACGGGTGACTGAAGTATACTCTACTAGAAACAGTAGAACCGATTTCCCCACCGTGACTTGTCTTTCAGATTTTAAGCTTCTTGAGGGGAGACATCTTTCACTTTTTGCAGAACTCTGTAAGATGCCCTACACTAATGGCATGATACAAATACAGTGGTACCTCTGGTTACGTACTTAATTTGTTCCAGAGGTCCGTTCTTAACCTGAAACTGTTCTTAACCTGAAGCACCACTTTAGCTAATGGGGCCTGTAACCTGAAGCGTATGTAACCTGAAGTGTATGTAACCCAAGTTACCACTGTAAGAGGCCTAATAATTACAGTGGTACCTCGGGTTACATACGTTTCAGGTTACAGACTCCGCTAACCTAGAAATAGTATCTCGGGTTAAGAACTTTGCTTCAGGATGAGAACAGAAATTGTGCGGCGGCGGCAGCCCCATTAGCTAAAGTGGTGCTTCAGGTTAAGAACAGTTTCAGGTTAACAACAGACCTCCGGAACGAATTAAGTACGTAACCAGAGGTACCACTGAGTGTCTCCACCCCTATCGTTCAGCCCGGACACTGAGGTCCAGCTCCTTCTGGTGGTTTCCTCACTGAAAGATGTTTGAGAAAACACAGCTTGGCTTAATGTCTGAATTAAGATACCAAACATGGTCTGCTGTTCCTCTTCTGGAACCCAGATACAGCTAAATTCAGAAGTTTTGAGTAGACTGAAAATTAAAAGAAAAAACAGTTCTAAATCACTGTTTGCCTGATTGTTAGGAAGCTTTACCCATGGTTATTACAACAGTGATGTTTGAACTTAGATGATGATGATGATGATGATGATATAGATAGATGATAGATAGATAGATAGATAGATAGATAGATAGATGATAGATAGATGATAGATAGATAGATGATAGATAGATAGATAGATAGATGATAGATAGATAGATGATAGATAGATGATAGATAGATAGATGATAGATAGATAGATAGATAGATAGATATAGATGATAGATAGATGGTAGATAGATAGATGATAGCTGATAGATTAGATGATAGATAGATAGATAGATATAGATAGATAGATAGATAGATAGATAGATAGATAGATGATAGATGATAGATGATAGATAGATAGATAGATAGATGATAGATGATAGATAGATAGATGATAGATAGATAGATAGATAGATAGATGATAGATAGATAGATAGATAGATAGATAGATAGATGATAGATAGATATAGATGATAGATAGATAGATAGATAGATAGATGATAGATAGCTGATAGATAGATAGATGGTAGATAGATAGATGATAGCTGATAGATTAGATAGATAGATAGATGATAGATAGATAGATAGATAGATAGATAGATAGATGATAGATAGATAGATAGATAGATAGATGATAGATAGATGATAGATAGATAGAGATAGCTGCTTCCTCTTAGATAGATAGATAGATAGATAGATAGATAGATAGATAGATGATAGATAGATGATAGATAGATAGAGATAGCTGCTTCCTCTTTATAGCTTTCACTACCTGGCCCTTACCTGCCCCATTCCACAGTAGAGTATAATTATTCTAACTGGAAGGAAGCAGGGGCTGGATGAAATTTATAGAAGTCCAGTACTGTCTTACCAACCATTTTGAACACAGTATTATTATCTTATTCTGCGTATTTCTATACTGCCTTGCAACTAAATTATCACTTAGGTTTACATATGAAAGGAATTAGTATAAAACAATAAAACAGTGAAGATAAAAACTGCTAACAATTAAAACACTGAAAGGTAGAAATACAAGTAGCATAAAACAATAAACATCTAAAAACACCTTAAAGGTAAAGGTAAAGAACCCCTGGAGGGTTAAGTCCAGTCAAAGGCAACTATGGGGTTGTGGCACTCATCTCGCTTTCAGGCCAAGGGAGCCATCATTTGTCCACAGACAGCTTTCCAGGTCATGTGGCCAGTGTGACTAAACCGCTTCTGGCACAACAGAACACCGTGAAAGAAACCAGAGTGCACGGAAATGCTGTTTAGCTTCACGCCACAGTGGTACCTATTTATCTACTTGCACTGGTGTGCTTTCAGACTGCTAGGTTGGCAGGAGCTAGGACAGAGCAATGGGAGCTCACCCCATCACGTGGATTCGAACCACTGACCTTCTGATCAGCAAGCCCAAGAGGCTCAGTGGTTTAGACCACAGCACCACCCGCTCCCATAAATGACTATAGTTAGCAACACAAAAATCCATTCAATCGCTATCCTAACTTGAAAGACCATCCAAATAGAAACAATATACTACAATCCTGCTTGACAATGCAAACTTTGAATCCTTACTCCTTTTTTCAGAAAGCAACAAGACCACATCGGACATGCAACCCAAGCCCAAAATTTCTAAGGTCACAAAGGAGAAATTCCAAATTTCTGCAAACAGGGCAAAGAAATGCTTCTTCCCTACAACACAAAATAAGCACATGCAATTTACTACAAGATATGGCAAAAGCCACTAATTTAGATGATTTTACAAACGGAGTGGCAAGATTAAGGTTAGAGTAGATTTACAGTTAACAGTTTTCTGTACCTAAATTTATTTCTTTATATTTTATTAAAATATTTACAGTGGTACCTCTGGATGCGAATGGGATCAGTTCCGGAGCCCCGTTCGCATCCTGAGTAGAACATAAGACGCGACGGCGCGACGGCGCGTATCACGTTTTGCCGCTTCCACGGATGCGTGTGACGTCATTTTGAGCGTCTGCGCACGCGCGAGCGGTGAAACCCGGAAGTAACGCGCTCCGTTAATTCCAGGTCGCCATGGAGTGTAACTTGAAAATGCTCAACTTGAAGCACATTTAACCTGAGGTATGACTGTTTATGCTTCTTATATAGGCATATCAAGGCAGTCAATAAACTATCATACAGTAAAATAAACAATCAAACATCATTTTTATCTCATAACAGCTGTCACCCATTGCCAGCAAAAGCCATGATAAAAAAAAACTTTACTGCATATCTCAGAACTGCACTGCTATTGTAAATATAGAATTTGTGGTGAACATTTTCCCAAAGGGGTTTTCAAAATTTGAAATGCTACTGTCTCAGCTACGATGTATACAGTAAAGTCGTACCTTGGAAGCCAAACGAAGTCCGTTGGACTTCCAAAACGTTCGAAACCAAAGCACGGCTTCTGATTGGTTGCAGGAAGCTCCTACAGTGAATCACAAGCCACGGAAGGCCTGTCGCACGTTCGGCTTCCAAAAATAGTTCACAAACTGGAACAGTCACTTCCGGGTTTGTGGCATTTGGGAGCCAAAACGTTCGAGAACTAAGCTGTTCGAAAACCAAGGCACGACTGTACAACCAAAGAACATTACAACAGAAGAACATTTAAAAAGCTGAAACGACGACAACAACACCCTGTCTGATCAACATTCACCGCAGGACACCAGCAAAGGCCAGGAGGTACCAGAAGCATCTGACTGACTACTTACTGTTGGCAATAGAATAGTAGAGTCGGTGAATCTTGGTTAGACCTATTTATTCATTTAGAAATTCTCCAAGTCCTCATCTTAAAATAGGAACCCAGGGTGGTATACTTACAATCAAAGATCAATGCAATAATTAAAACAAGCAATTCTTAATACATTGGGTAGCATCCAGCTGAACTTTCCTCAGCGCCAGCCCACCGAAATTAATGGACTAAAGTTAGTCATGTGCATTACAGTGGTACCTCGGGTTAAATACTTAATTCGTTCCAGAGGTCCGTTCTTAACCTGAATCTGTTCTTAACCTGAAGCACCACTAATGGGGCCTCCTGCTGCCGCCACGCCGCCGGAGTATGATTTCTGTTCTTATCCTGAAGCAAAGTTCTTAACCTGAAGCACTATTTCTGGGTTAGCGGAGTTTGTAACCTGAAGCGTATGTAACCTGAAGCGTATGTAACCCGAGGTACCACTGTAATTTCAGTGGGTTGTATCCAAGGATATCAGTGTGAACACAAACTAACTTGCATGGGCACAAGATAACTTTACTTCTTTCTCCTTCCACCCTCACCCCTAAAACTGCTCCAGAGAGTTGGGGGGGGGAACCCCCAGAGCAGATTTTGGAGGTGGAGGAGGGAGAGAAGAGGTTCCATATTACCTGCGGAAGTAGGCTTGCATGTGCAATTATTTTGTTGGTTACAACCCAGTGGTTCTACTGTGAATATGACCAATGTTGGATACAACCCAAAATCAAATCCATGAAAATCCAAGAGCGCCATTTTTCTTAAAACGTGAAATAGTGATTTTAGATTGTTCATTAGATGTTATTTATGCCACCACTGAAGCATTCCAAACCTTCAAGGCAAAATAATATATAAAAAAGAACCTACTCGTACCTGATCGAAAACATTCAATAATTTGCTGAATGCCGGATTTTGATGTCTGAAGAGGCTGCTGCAATAAAGGATGATCTCCAGGTTCCAGTATATGCACTGCAAAATAGTCACAATAAATAGTAAAAAAAAGAGCTTAAGGTACATGTCCACACATAAATGTTAACTGCACTGAGGCTGTTCTATTAAATTTCTATTAAAACATTGCAATATAGTCTGGACATCAAAAATGACAAATATGTAGGGTTTTTTATTGCTATTTCCAAAACAACTGTAATGTCTGTGACTGTCTCAGCTAAGCTCAAAAAAGCATATTCACACACAAATAGAGATACAGTGGAAACCTAGGTTCCCGAACGAAATCCATTCTGGAAGCCCGTTCAGCTTCCGAAACGTTCGAAAACCGGGGCGCGACTTCCCATTGGTTGCAAGAGCTTCTTGCCCTCAGCGGAAACCGCGTCGCACGTTCAGGTTCCAAAAAACCTTTGAAAACGGAAGCATTTACTTCCGGGTTTTCGGCGTTTGAGAACCGAAACGTACGACAATGGAGGCATTCGGGAATAAGGTTCCACTGTATATATATACAGCTTATCTAGAAAGCAGTTAGTACTAGAAATGACAAATAACATTTCTGAAAGATAGAATACACGTCATTGCTAGAAATAATTGCCATAAGGTTTTACCAATGTTGTCTAGCAATTCCTACACTCATGTACCTATATTCATATTAGGATTATGTTTGCTGCTCAGTTGCATTAATCTCAATTTAAGTAATGAATTATGCTAGTGTTTGTTAACTCTGTTGAGCCAGTCAAGACGCAACTGGGCATCTTTGGAAGAACATTTATTTCAATCACAGCTTTTTATTTGTAAAGATTCCTAACAGACATGTCACCCGATTAAAGAAATCTGAGATGATTAGCAATAGACGGTATAGTCAAGTAATCATCTGATCAATTAATTCTATATAGGTAACAACCCTATTCTGAAGCAACTTACTTTCTTTGGGTTGTACCCACTTAAGTCATGAGTTGATATTAATGGGCTTAAATTATTAAAATCCATTTGTTTCAAGTGTTTACTCCAAGTGTGACTTAATAGGATAAAACCCTTTGTTTTTAGATGATACATACAGTATAGGCATTATAGTAAAGGTAAAGGGGGACGCGGGTGGCGCTGTGGGTAAAACCGCAGTGCCTAGGACTTGCCGATCGTATGGTCGGCGGTTCGAATCCCCGCGGCGGGGTGAGCTCCCATCGTTCGGTCCCAGCTCCTGCCCACCTAGCAGTTCGAAAGCACCCTTAAGTGCAAGTAGATAAATAGGGACCGCTTTATAGCGGGAAGGTAAACGGCGTTTCCGTGTGCTGCGCTGGTGCTGGCTCGCCAGAGCAGCTTCGTCACGCTGGCCACGTGACCCGGAAGTGTCCTCGGGCGGCGCCGGCTCCCGGCCTCTAGAGTGAGATGAGCACACAACCCTAGAGTCGGACACAACTGGCCTTCGGGCAGGGGTACCTTTAAAGGTAAAGGGACCCCTGACCATTAGGTCCAGTCGTGGCCGACTCTCGGGTTGCGGAGCTCATCTCGCTTTATTGGCCAAGGGAACCAGCGTACAGCTTCCGGGTCGTGTGGCCAGCATGACTAAGCCACTTCTGGCGAACCACAGCAGTGCACGGAAACGCCGTTTACCTTCCCGCCGGAGCGGTATCTATTTATCTACTTGCACTTTGACGTGCTTTCAAACTGCTAGGTTGGCAGGAGCAGGGACCGAGCAACGGGAGCTCACCCCATTGCGGGGATTCGTACCGCCGACCTTCCAATCGGCAAGTCCTAGGCTCTGTGGTTTAACCCACAGCGCCACCCGTGTCCCATATGCATTATACCAAGGATCAATTTAAAAAGACATTCCAACTATATGAGAGAAAAGGGGGAACACACTTTTCTCCATCTTAAGATGGTACTTGCCATTTGCACTTGTTAGAAGTATTTCTTGAATATACATAGAAGCAGACCTCTATTTATGTGGCAGTACATGTAGTCAATTAAAATGTTTTTATACATGCCTACTCAAGCTCAGGTAAGTAGGTTAGTAGGTACCCTATCTTAAGTTGAAGCACGTACTAATGTGTACATTTCTCTTCATTTTCTCGTTTCAAGTGTTTTTAGGTTACAAGCCATTTTTTTAAGCTCATGTGGTTATTACAGCAACATGCCAACGTCAGAATATTTGTATATATTTATATCAAGCTATTTGTATGCTGAATAAATTTTGTTTTGCAGGCCTTGGAAACATAGTTTCCAAAAATGTTTATTCCCTGCCTTCTCCCTCAACCCAGCCTACAAGAAAGAAATACAGATGTAAGAAGTATTCCATCAAAACCCAACCATTTCTAAAATACTGGCAATGTAACAATATTTGAAGATGTCCTAATTCCATTACGGCAGCATAATATAGGCTATCTTTTCCCGACAGCGTCTTACTGCATTTATTTATTTCTATTTTTAAGAAAGGTAGATTACTAAAGCACTTTTACCTGGTTCACAGCAGCCATGGTGATGGTGGTCAGTCTGACAACACTTGTCCCTTAGAGGCATTTTCTACATCAACGCCCTACTTTCCTTCTACATCTAGTAGCTCGTTTCTGCTAAAATAAGCAAATTTTCTATCATTTACCAAGGAAAATAAGGTTCTGCAGTGTTACATGACTTCCCTGTAAAAACCACTGATCTAAGAAGGAGTGGTGAATATTGAACATATATACAAAGAGCAATTCTACATATGAAAAAACGAAATCTTCTCAACTCCGCCATTGTTATGACATGGATACATGGATAAATTTTGTTTTAGAAATAGCTATTGCAATCAGAGGCAGCTTAAGTTGCATCAAACAGGCTTGGAAAAGAGGCAAGTCATTCCCTCCCAAATCAGGAAAGTTCTTCACTCCTTTTCAGCGCTAATTCAAATTAGCTGATCTAAGCTCTGTAAACCCACAAATACCTTTTGCCCCACCTCAATCGCCAACCCTACTTATTCCTTCTCTCTAACCCCCCGTTATGTTTGAACCACCCTGTGATGAAGCAGGGCATATACGTAGTTACCTGGCTGGTTAGCCAGGTATACTGCTCCAAGAACAGCAAACACCTATGGGATATGTAAAGGGGGAAAGTTTCTCCAGTACAGTAGTGTCTGGGAAATGTAGTCTTCCTGAAAAGCACTGCTGGAACTCTTTTCGCGAATCTCTTTTCTTCTCTTTCCCCATGGCTATTTGCTACTTTCCAGCTGGAAAAGGGCGCTGAAACAGCAATTATTATCTTGACTTGGATTTTAATCCAAAAGGGAGAATAAGTCTCCTGAATTCTTTCAGCCGAGCGTTAGAAGCCTATAAAATGCACATCGGAGTAACCAAAATAACATCTTCACTCAGCCCTATTTACAAACATTTTGTAATGCAAACTGACATTCACAAAGGATTTTATTTATCGGAATGAAATAATTCACAGAACGACAGATGATGGCCTACTCAAAAAAAGGGCTGTTTGCGGTTTTCAGCACTCCACCAGCATCCAATCAAAACTGGAGGACGGGGAATAGCAGTGAGTTTAAAAGACTTCAGAAATACACTACTTTAGAGTAAAGTATATATACGAGTTTATGGAGTGCATTTACCAATCCAGTATTTTTTATGCAACTTGTTCCTAAATATCCTCCAATACAGATTTCAAATTGCATGCATCCTGTCACATCACTGCCAGCTTCTAAGCCACTGATCTCCTTTGCAGCCTCACACACATTTGAGGCTACATACATAGAACTGCAGAGCTTTGGGTAGGTTCCCCCATGCTGCAATTGAAGGAGTTAAGAGCACTACAAAATGTCATTCTCTAAAATGGTCCAACTGTTTGCAAAAAAAGTATATGATGCTTGCTCCTTCATAACAGCATAACATTTAATTCTGTTTCTACGTGTACACACACCACATTGATGGCTTTATGTTTTGAAGCGGTCTATAAATTGGTTTAATAATCGTGAACCACAAGAGCTCCTTCAGGAGTAACCATTACAGGCCATGCCTTAACACATTTACTTTTCATTCAAAGGAAAAGTACTGGTACTATGTTGTCCACTTATACCAGCTCTTACTCTATTCCCAACATAACAATGGAAAGCGTAACGTCGATGAACAATAGGTTCAAAGATGCTCTCAAGGCAAATCTTTTAAAAATGTAGTATAAACACCGACGACTGGAAAACACTGGCCTGCGAGTGCTCCAACTGGCCTCTGCTAAAGGCGTCATGGAGTTTGAAGACACTCGAACTCAAAATGAAAGGGAGAAATGTGATAAGAGGAAGGCATGCTTGGCAAATCCTCAACGTCATCAACTCCTGCCCGGAAACCTATGTCCCCACTGTGGAAGGATGTGTGGATCCAGAATTGGCTTCCACAGTCACCTACGGACACACTGTTAAAACCATATTCATGGAAGACAATCTTACTCGGCTATGAGTGATCGCCAAAGAAGACAAATCATGGCAAGATCTACACACAACTCAATCCAAGCATGTTTACTCAATGGTAAGTCTCTTTCCCCCCCAATGGGACTCACTTCCAAAAAAAGAATATGTAGGATTGCAGCATCAGCATCTAAATAAATGATCAAACTTTGTGTCCTTGACAAAGACTATCTCATTTCCATGTCTGTATGCAGTGCATGTGGACCAGTGTTAGAAACTTAAATGTATGAGTTGGCACCAAACGGCTCCTTAAACCAGATATGCATTATAACATGTAATATGTCAAATGTACCTAGTCACAGTAACACGACATCCCAGAATACTATTTCTATCACTTTTCACCAGCACCTATTGCTTCCCCATGGGCTGAAAAATGTGTTTAATTGTTGGCAACCACAACTATATTTGAAAATGCACATTTCTCTGCACAAATATCTCCATGAAAAAATTCATCCTACCTCTTGACACCTCCTGTCTCCCTCCATATATGCAGCAAAACACTCCCTTGACAACTTAAGCCAGACAATTTTAGAACTATCTACAGAACTCATTTTGTTGTCTCACTTTCTGTGGACTGTTTTTATGTACACTGCTTATAAATGGAAACAATTAAGCAGTATATAAATGCCATAAGTAAATAATAAACCTATTTTTATTGTCAGGAATCAATCCCGCTGTGTAAAGACAGACAAATGACCACATACGGTCTACTGCAACTGAGGAGTCAAAACCAGTCCCTTCTTACCTGACAAGTCAAACCATGCAGTTCCCCCACCCCAATCTCACATTCACCCTAAATGAGGGATCAAGAACTTGATCCAAACCTATTCCTGAGCTAGGCACTCCCTTGCCCTCCAGTTGTCAAATATAAACCAAAATAAGATGTGCCCTGTGCACATAGCTTCGAACATGTGATGATGCAAAGGAGATCAGCGCCACAGAAGTCAGCAATGCTACACCTGTAAATATCCTGTTGCTGGAGGATATGTAGGATCAATCTGTTGGCCCTACAGCAAGAGACGTTGCAGGCTGGCAGATGGGGAAGAGGGGGCAATGCACTGGCCCACTATCCTTGGCCAAATCCTCAGAGTGTCCCCTTGTGAAAAGTCATGACTATCCAGGGGCGGACTTTGGTAATACAGTGCCGTGGGTATGCAAGAGCTAGCCAGGTTTTTTGCCCTGGGTGAAGCATAGAGGGATGACACTGAGGCTCCCAGCCCCTCTCTCTCTCTCTCTCTCTCTCTCTCTCTGTGTGTGTGTGTGTGTGTGTGTTTACACACCAGTGTTAGAAACTGAGATGTGAAAGCTAGGAGCTAAACTTAAACCTAAGAACAATACAAAGCTGAAAATGAATGAACAGCAGCTAAAATATTATATTTTTCACATGGTCTAGTCCTTTCCCTGCCTACCCCCCTAGTATTCTGGATTTCTTCTCCAGTCTTCAGAGAGTAGCTGGAAGTGGGGAGGCAGGAAAAGGTCCTCCTTTCCTTCCACTCCACAGTTTAAATCTGAAATCTTAGGTGCAGTACGGCGCCCAGAGCTCAAAAACTGCTTGCGTTGGTAAAATTTCCTGTCGCAAAATGCGCCTGGAACAGTGGGAGTTTCGAACACCAGGGCCCACAAATGTGCGTGAGGGGCAGTGCCAAACTGGGTCTTTGACCCTTGTGAAGTAATGCCTAATTTTGCCCCTGGGTAATATGGCACTGTGAGTGAGGATGAAATTTGGTACACACACACCCCAAATGTTAATTTGACAATAATTCATAAAGGGGAGGGGAAAACTGTATACTTTAAAAGGTTGTCATTGTACTTCACCAGATCCTAACCTATTACAGTATTTGTAAGAATACTGGGGTTTCCCCCCTTCTCCCCTTTATTTTCCCTTCTACACAGGTTCTGTTTCTCTTTTTCCTTTTCTCTCGTTTACTTACATCTCACAACGTTTAGTGTACATATAATCATGTACTTTTTGAATTTTCAATAACTATATTTTTAAAAATTGACAATAACTCAATTTGGCACGGTTGCTTTTTAACCAATCGTCTCAGTAGGTACCCACATAAATATAAGATATCATCATCATCATCATCATCCTTCGACTCAGCACCCTGTGATGTGGAACCGCCCGACACTGCCCTAAATCTGGCGCTGGGCTGATCCATGCCACACACAGGAATGCCAACCCAGACCATGCCAACCATTACGACCTGGCCACCCACCCCATCACTGGCCTTTCCATCACCGATGCAGGAACAAAACAACAACAACAAGCATTCCAATGCAGAACCCACATTCCCAAACACACACACACACCCCTCTCCCTCTCTGGCACTCATCCCTCTCCACACAAGTTCCCTCTCCCCCACACCACCTCCTCCCAGGTTGCCAACTCCTCGCGCGCTCTTCCGGGGCCACCTGTCACACGGGTCGCCCGCTTCACACAACCCAGCATCGGCGCGCGAGGGGAGGGAGCGGGCACGCGCGCGTACACCCACACGCCAGCCAAACCAACCAACCAACACGCATCTCCTTCGTGTTTTCCGCGGCGGGCAAGGGTGCCCGTGACGGAGCGAAGGCGGAGAGGCGAGTTTCAGCACACTTACGGGAAAGGCTCCTGCGGGAGACGCCAGCCCGGCCCGAGCGAGGCGCGTGGGGTGCCTGCCGGGCGGGCAGCGGCTGGGCGTGAGCGAAGCCCCTCTTCGCCTGCCCGCCACCGGCCGGCGGGACGCGCGCGGGAGGCGGAGAGGGAGGAAGGAAGAAGGAGCCCCTGGGCTGCTCCGAGGAGGCGCAGGCAGCAGGTGACAGCGAGCAGGGCGCCCGGAGAGGAGGCTCCGCGGGGGGACCCTGCCGCCGCCGACGATGCGGGGCCCGGCGGGGAAGGGCAGCGCGCTGTTGTCGCCGCGCCCCGACGCGAACTCGCCGTCGCCTGTCCCGCCCAAGCGGCCCCGCGACGCGACCCCGGAGCCGGATGGGCGCAAGGGCAGGAAGTGACTGCGGCCGCGGCAGGCCCGGGGCAGCGCACGGCGCATGCGCCGCACCCGGCTTTTTCCCTCCTCTCCGCCCCCTTCCCAGCCTCCTCGCTCCTCTCTCCCGCTCGCGCTCTCCTCCCACAAGAGCCCCGAGCGCGCAGGTGGCTGTTGTGCTCCGCGGGGTTCCCGCCCGACGGCGACCAAAGTTGGCGGCGGGGGCAAAGTTGGGCGCGCGGCGGAGGGGTCCCCTGCGCGCGCCTCCTCTCCAACATGCGCCTCAGCCAATCAAAGGAAGGCACCTCGAGGCCCGCCGGGGCAAGAAAGGGCTCCTTGCCTTTCCCCCCCCCCTCTCTCCCAGGAGGCTCCGGCTGCGCTCTGCTCGCTTGCGCCCTTTGGAGCCGCCGTGGCGCGCGCCTTGGTGCCAGGGCGCACGGCTTGGCGAAGGGCGGTGGAACCGGCCGCCGCTGCCTTCCTGCCTGCTTTTCCGCGACGCCAGCGAGCTCGGCGTGGCACTCCGACCCGCGTTTAGAAAGGGGCTGAGCGAGGGAAATGCTCCGGCTGCGGCGCTTGGGTACGTCTGGCGCCCTGGAGCAGCCGCCTCGCCATGGTTTTTACGCACTCGCAGAGGCGCACAGGGCGAAGGGAGTCCAGCGCGCGAGGCGAAGAGGAAAATTCCTCCACGGCGCAGCTCCCTCGGATGGGAAGCATCGGGTTCTCCGGGCGCGCTGTTTTCTCCGCTGGTGGGGAAAAAGGCTCCATCCGTGGCGCAACGGTCGCTTCTCTGCCGTGCCATTGCCGGCTTACTCGGGTTTCGCGACAGGCGCATCTTAGCAGGCTTTTAAAATCCCGCCGGCCGATCGACTTCGCGTGCCTGGTCTAAATTCTCTTTTTTTAGTTTTCCCTAGCAATCCAGCCGCCACGTCTGTGTTTACAAAAAAAAAATACAACGCCGGTTGTGGCTGGTTATACCGGTGCGCGGGGAACCCTAATGGCGAGGGACGTGTAGATTCTGTGCACGTGCAGAAAAAAGCACAATTCTGAGAAACTCTGTCTTTCATTGACAAAACTGAAGTGTTTTTAATGTTTTGACCGCAAAGATGAAGTGGAGCAGGGAACTCCGAAGCTGGATGAGGGGATAGTGAAATATCCAAGCAGGCAAGGCTTTCGTTGCTATGCACCGAAGCAGAGTGGGCTGTAGAAAAATAAGCACATTTACGCTATTTGCATAATTTATAGAGATATTCTGCGCTTCTTTGGTGCAGATGTTTGAGATCCTGCCTCGCTAGTTTTACAGTAACAGATGTGACAAAACTTCTCTATTAAGTGAAGTTCTCTGGATGCTTCCAGGTCATTTCCGTTGAAAATGAACTGCAAATTAATCTGAGCTTGGAACAAAATATATTGCATCATCTCCAGCAGATAATTTAATATAAATAAAGTACTCTTGCATTTTATTTATTTGTTTATCTAATTTGTAGTCCACCTCATATTGCAACAGAAATCCCTTAACAGTTTACAAATCCCAACAAAGATATAATTATAGAATACAAATTCCACATTCAAAACAACAATACGACTTAATTGTCATCAGCATCACAATTCCAAATTTTAAGTAACATAAATAAATGTCCCTCAATGCAAACTTTAATTAAAAGAAGAATCCAAAATAAACCATATGCAAAACATATCAAGATACATAAACATTCAATGCAATACATATAGTTACAAAGTTATAAATATATAAAAAGTATACCACATGTCACTCCATCTATCTACTTCTCACTTCAATAAACATTCCAGTGTTGAAATAATAAAAATCTAACCAATACAGAAGAAAGGTCCAAGAAGTAAAAGCAATCAAATAGTAGAAAAGTCAAGAAGCATTCGTTTTCTCACCATCCCCTCATCTGGGGCAATACAGCACCCTCTCCCTACCCTCTCAACTATGGAGATTAAACCCTTCCACACAAACAGGTTATTATCCTGTGGGCAGTTGGGCATGGCTACCACAATATAGAGGGACGCGGGTGGTGCTGTGGTCTAAACCACATAGCCTAGAGCTTGCCTATCAGAAGGTCAGTGGTTCGAATCCCCACAACAGGGTGAGCTCCCATTGCTCAGTCCCTTCTGCCAACCTAGCAGTTCAAAAGCATGTCAAAGTGCAAGTAGATAAATAGGTACCGCTCCGGCGGGAAGGTAAACAGTGTTTCCGTGCGCAGCTCTGGTTCGCCAGCAGCAGCTTAGTCATGCTGGCCACATGACCCAGAAGCTGTACGCCGGCTCCCTCGGCCAGTAAAGCGAGATGAGCGCCGCAACCGCAGAGTCATCCGCGACTAGACCTAACGGTGAGGGGTCCCTTTACCTTTACCTTTTACCACTATAGAGTGGCACCTCGGGTTTTAGACTTCACTAACTCAGAAATAGTACCTCGGGTTAAGAACTTTACCTCAGGATGAGAACAGAAATCGCACGGCGGCAGCGGGAGGCTCCATTAGCTAAAGTGGTACCTCAGGTTAAGAACAATTTCAGGTTAAGAACGGACCTCCAGAACGAATTAAGTCCTTAACCCGAGGTACCACTGTACATGTTTCTCACTGCCCCACAGGGAGCATCCTAATCAATCAGACCAAAGTAAATAAGCACAATTTCACTTAAAGAACAGCAGCCCAAGAAGTAAGACAAGTAAATAATGAGGTGGCACTCTGAAGCAACAAACAAAGGAGGTTTCTCCTCCTCTGGGTCATTTACTTCAAATTTTTGTGTGTCCTGGGATCCGGTAGCGGATTTTGTGGGAAAGTCTCCCCCAACGCCCTTGGCTTGCTGGGAGATTGAAATGGCATGGGCATGGGCACTGATTTACAGAAGCAGTAATTCATGCTGTGTCTGCCCAGATGTTTCAGTATAACACATTTCCTTTGCCATGCTGGCCATTCCAGCACAATGAATAACACGAAACCTTTCACCGTGTTTTAGGTTTGCTTTGGTGATATTTGTAGTTAATGTTACAGCATGCCTTTTTGCTACTGTAGGTGGCCATGCTGGCAATCATGGAACCGTTTTTATTTCATCGCTTCTAGATTTTATTCTTCCACTACTCTAAGCCATGTAGCATGTGTGCCCATTCGGAACAAGCTGTCCTGTTTGTGTAATGGTGTTTGTATGTTTGTTGTATATCCCCTATGCTCTTTTGGAGGATGGGTGATTTAGAAATATGCTTTTAAGCAGTCCAATCTGGCTTTTAAAGGTAATTCACCTTGTCTGGTTCATTAATCACCCTCCAAGGCTAAGAGGTCTATTTAATGCAGAATTGCAGCCAAGACTTTCCAGCTGAACTGCTTTGGAGATATAACTTGAAGAAAAGCTGCGACTTACAAAGCTGTGGTCAGGTAAAGACTTGCTGTTGTGCTGGGCATGAAAGATCTTGGGTTCTGCTAATTTCTTGCTTCCCAAATACTTTCTCATTTTAGTTGTTCCGAACACGGTCTTTTCGATTCTGACCACACCGACTCTTGCTGTCAGTTAAAAGGAACCCCAGAGAGCTTCTGTCAGGTACAGAGTGGTGACCTAAGTTTACAAATAGTCTGACCTCTGGTGTAAGGCAATTTCTGAGGCCTCTTCCTCATTCTGTATCTATCTTGCGTGCAAGAAACTATAATGCATTTTAGGACAAAATACAGTGGTACCTCGGGTTAAGTACTTAATTCGTTCCGGAGGTCTGTTCTTAACCTGAAACTGTTCTTAACCTGAAGCACCACTTTAGCTAATGGGGCCTCCCGCTGCCGCCGTGCCACCGGAGCACAATTTCTGTTCTCATCCTGAAGCAAAGTTCTTAACCCAAGGTACTATTTCTGGGTTAGCGGAGTCTGTAACCTGAAGCGTCTGTAACCTGAAACGTATGTAACCCGAGGTACCACTGTACAGTGTGGGCAGTAGACGAGATACTGCATTTTGCAAGCCAAGAGAGCAGTCCTACCCAGAAGTGGCTTGCCAGGTGAGGTGAAGCCACTATGCTATCTTCCCAGCAGGTGGGACACTGTTGGTTACCAAGAATGAGAAGGGGTAGGCGGTGAGGATATTGGCATGGTGCAAATGCACTGAGAGAGCTTATCCGGCACTCTTGCCAGTATGTTTGTGCCACACTAACCTAATTGCCCTGCCCCTCTCCTTCCTAGGAAGCAACAGCAACCCGCCTGTCTGGAGGCTAGCATAGTGGTTCCGCCCTGCCCAATTGAACTACTTCTTTTCCACCCTGCCCCATCATTCGCTTGGTGCTTTCTCTTTCCACATCTCAATCATAGCCCAGTGCAAATTGGGAGTGTCCCTTCCTTTCTACATATACACAGTCATGTTGAAGTGGTAAAGGTAAAGGGACCCCTGACCGTTAGGTCCAGTCGCGGACGACTCTGGGGTTGCGGCGCTCATCTCGCTTTATTGGCCGAGGGAGCCAGTGTACAGCTTCCACGTCATGTGGCCAGCATGACTAAGCCGCTTCTGGTGAACCAGAGCAGCGCACAGAAACGCCGTTTACCTTCCCGCCGGAGTGGTACCTATTTATATACTTGCACCTTTGGATGTGCTTTCGAATGCTAAGTTGGTAAGCCAGTCCATTAAAGTCCAGGGACTCTCACTTTGCACTCAAACTCCTAAGAAGACTGAGGTGTGAGGAAGGTGCAGGGGAGTTGTATTTCCTGAAAATGCTCAGGGGACTGAATCCTATTCTCAGCACCTAACTCTGTCCTAGTTAATCACAGTACCATCGAGAGTGTCTAACCTATAGTATATTATCGTGGGTATGGGAGCAGTTATGAAACGGAATAAAAAAGCTTTACAGAGGAAATAATTAAAATTGCCCAGAATGTTATGGGCTCCAACTACCAACCCTGATGAGATCTTCACGTCTGCATTTGAAGAAGTCACCATATCCGAGCATCCTGCTCACACTTTTGACTGTTGCTTCGGCAGAAGATATAGACATGAAACACGAACCAC